ACGCACTCTCTGTGCAAAATGTGCGTTTAAGGATGTGTTGCCCGTCTCCAAGAAAGCCTAAATTTATCATTAAATTTAATTACACTAAATAATAATAATAAGAACAACTACCTAATCAAGTAGTCGGACTAATTAAACTTTAAATAGGTTATAAATAAAATAATTTGAAGGTGGTAATATAATTTCACTTAAGGAGAGGCTTGATTTTTACAACGATTAGGTAAAAAATTTCAAGAAACATTTTATTAGCTTGTAAAATGATTAAAACATTATAATTTGTATAAGTACTAAATGTAAACTATAATTATTATGGTGTAATATATTTGTATAACAATAACTGAAAAAAATATACGATACTTTGTCAAGGGAATTAAATAGGTCACTGGTTAAATACCTATGTTGATGTTTCTGTAACTACAATAGGCTTACAGCTTCGAGAAGTTTGAATGGAAAGCATTTTCCATTTTTACATTGATTGTTAACTTGTCACGCAATCGGCTAAAAGTTTTCATCCTTGCACTCGATAAGGAATTTCCCTGTCTGTACAAAAATTCACATATTATAATAAATTATATATGATGAATAATGAGATGACCAATTTTATATATTTTTACACATTTTAAGCAATGATAAGGATATAATTGAATAACTATGCTTCCTAATCTCATTTAACACGCATGAATTAAGTTTAACGTATCAAAACCTTGTCGTGGGACACTTTATAGTAAAAATTTAAATTAAATAAACAACAGATACGTTGTACTCGAATATGCTGTGGAATAACAGTTTTAAAGACAATAGTTATAAGTGTTAGAATATTTATTTCAAAGTCAAATATCATTATTCAATATAGAAGCATACACTTACTTATTGATAGTCAAAAAACTCTACCGCCGGTTCGGAAGGAAAGCCAACTGACCTGGGAAGAACCGGCGTAAGAAACTCAGCGGGACATTTCATTTAACTTGACAAAAAAAAAACAAATATGTGTACAATTTATTAAATTCCACTTCATCAATTAATTTCCAGAGTGTGTTATCATTCAAATAATCACTAATACTATAAAAGCCATTAACACACAAACGTTCTTTGAATTTAGCAACGGATTAATTTCGAAAATTTTCTGGGAATTTTTTGTAAGAGCATATATTGTCCCATAAAAGATTTACTTATTCTACGCAAGCTGGTTGAGGGTAGAACTAATGTAATATTTAATGTAAACTGCTATCTTCTAATCAGGAAGAATCGATTGAGCATTGGTCCTAGGTCACTAGCGTCATAATAAGCAAAGAAACAAATTGTGTAATGTCTCTTGGTATGAGGCGTCGTTAATTTTCCGTCGGGTCGGAACATCGATAGTTCAGCATCGCGTAACACATAGAAATCGTGTGAACCAGATCTGTAGTGCAATAAAATACAAATTTCCCATCAAGTCCCTGCGGGGAGACTGAGTACAACTGTTATTAATTTTTTTTAAGACTACCTGGGTCACGGCACAAATAGGCCTACTGAGCCGCTGAGATGTACCCCTCCGAAATGTACGACTTCAGCTGGGAGTAAATGCATTTTCAATTGTTTTTATTTAGTACTGTTTTAGTCAATCCACAGTTTGAATATATCGAATATGTGAAGAGCATATTATATAAAGGTTGAAAATTAAAACATAGTAGAAGAGACATAACTGTTGTAAAAAAGTTAATGAAAAAAATTTCTTTTTTTCCCTCTTGATGAAATTTACTACCATTATGATACATAAACAGCATAAAAATTTACCAACGGAATGCTCATTAACTTACACATCCGTGGTTTATTAATATTTGTAGAAAAATTACGAAAAGTCCTTCGCCGCTGTGGGAATCGAACCCATTTCAAGTCTTCGGGATTCGCGCCCTGACGCTATAGCCACCAAGCTGATTTTCACACACACGAAAATCTCAACGACTTTTATCTATATTGTTTTTAGCACTTGAAGCAATGCTTGGCACGTTCATTGTTATATCCTTTTCGGGCAGGCCCGTCCGGGTAAGTACCACAACCTCACAGAAGACCAGCGTAAAGTGGAAGTATGACAAATACTTTCGCGTTTCGTCTGGTGAGTGAGGTAGCCGGAGCCAAATTTTCAAGAGGTTGCTAACGCATCTGTAACCCTCGGGTGTAGCAGATGTCCATGGGCGGCGGTATTCACTCACCGTCTGCTCGTTTGGCAACTTTTCACATAAAAAAATATCATCATTTCAGCCTGTTTGAGTCCACTGCTGAACATAGGCCTCCTCCAAAGACTTCCACGAAGCACGATCCCGAGCCATCTGCATCCATCGACTTCCCGCACACAGACGCAGGTCGGTGTAATGTGATAAAATCAAATTGCATTATAGTTAGTATTGTTATTTATTATAGTTAGTATAGTTGTTGTGTTGACATAAAATTGGATTGGTGAAAATTAACTATAAGGTTACTTATGTTACCTAAGAATTATAGTTGGAAAAATTAACAATTATTATTTAGCAATGTAGTTATTATAATAATTATGATTATTAAAAAAATAATTTACAATAGTTTAAAGCAAATGCAAATGTAAGATTCAAATAAGTTAGCATGGATACAATATTTCTATATATGTATGAACTCATATTTGATAAAAGAATTCTTAATGAAGGGGCTTATTAATGTAATATTAGAAGAACTGTTATTAATTCCTATTGCTGTTTCAGTCATAATACTATTAATTGTATTATAAGTAATATTTTTCTTCGTAAAAAAGTAATTACCATGTGTAATCAAATTCCTTTGATAGAAGTATAAATTTATAATAGACATTTCTACGATGACTGAGTCAATCATCCACACATCGTATATGTAGTAGTATAATTTATTATTTATAATATTAAATTTCATACAACATCTAGTCTCCTCCCGGCAAAGCGCCGACGGAACGGTCTTAGTTGAATTTATAACCCTTTTACGAGGTTGTCCTGGCCAGTTCGCTATCGAATTAAGTGTATCTTCGCGACAACTTACGTATACTGAATGTATAAAACGCCACCCTACTTTGATCTCCCATCCGTGTCAAGGTCACTTAAATTTCATTCGCCCGCCGCTCGATGAGACATGTGTTCTATTATTATACAGGGAAAGTCCAGATCCGCTCGCTGGGCCGCAGCAATAGTCTAAATTACTTTCCCGTCCAAGCCAAGGGAGTAATGTGTTAAAGAAACGCTACAACATCTAGCTAGAATGTATAAATATTTCTTAAATGACATTTAAATAATATAAAATGAAATATTTAAAGATTTAGAGAAACGCTTGAAGTTCTAAAAACGTGATATCGATTGGTAACAGGAATAAATCGTAAATAATAGATCAATTCACTTCGCGCAGTATGAGGCCACGAATTCGAATATAATGATAGGCGGCACTCGAGTATCCCTAACACGTAAAGTTTGATAAAGAAATTTTTTTTGTAATAATCCATATCTAATACGAAGCCTGATCTAGACAAATACTGTTAAGTGCCACTGAATAAAAAATATGAGTAGTTATGTAATTACAATATCTCACGAGTAGCAATAATACGTCTACAAATTTTTATAACTGACCGTCATGTAATTCACTTATTTCTAAAATACCTGAAGTAATAATAGAAAACCTTTAAGAAAGTAAGTGATCTAGGTCAAAACTCCTTTGTCCCGTAACTATAACTGAGTTATAACAAAATGCATTGAGACGATACATCAAATGGGTCAGCAGCAACACTTAAGTTATGTTTCCTAAAAAATGAAAACACGTGCATTGTAAACGCGGACGATTCATTGTTACGCGTAGCCGACGGACGCTGAGGGGAGTGATTTGTAGCCTCTAAGGGGGAACTTTCATTTTTAACGCCGAATCAGTCGATATGATAGACAATTTCATTCGTGCTGGTAATTACAACTATGATGTGCTAATTGAAAGTCTGACGTATTCAATTTTTACCCGATTATACCAATAGTGTTTTGGTGCTATTTGTGTGTTCCTTATTTATTTATTTATTTATTTATTTATTGTTATATGGAAAACTACAGCATGAATACAAATTATAAAATATAAGAGATGAACATAATTAGAGACTTATAATTAAAGCAAATTACAGTTTTCCTTTTAAAAGACTTAATAATAAGGTACGAGCAACAAATACAATGTGTGTGTGTGTGTGTGTGTGTGTGAGTGTGGGTGTGTGTGTGTGTGTGTGTGTGTGTGTGTGTGTGTGCGTGCGTGCGTGCGTGCGTGCGCGCGTGTGCGTGCGTGCGTGCGCGCGTGTGTGTATGTGCGTGTGTGTGTGTGTGTGTGTGTGTGTGTGTGTGTGTGTGTGTGTGTGTGTGTGTGTGTGTGTGTGTGTGTGTGTGTGTGTGTGTGTGTGTGTGTGTGTGTGTGTGTGTGTGTGTGTGTGTGTGTGTATTATTATTTGTCGTATTAATCGCGGTGGTTTATATAAATAAACGGATAGATGCTGTTATAAATTACCGTTTTACTGCACAGTGACTACAAGTATTTTGTACTTAGTTCTTTGTTGAAGTGATAATGGGCCAGCGGATCTTTTATCAGAACGCAAAGTTATCCTACCTTATGTTGCGAAAAGCATCATTATAAGAAAGGTCGTTGAAATCTATTTTATGGTTTGCATGCAGCGAAATATTTTCTACGTGGACTTGTTGCTTCTAACAGGTGCCTACAGAATGTTGATTTAACGATAAACGTAGCAATTCGCATGTAGATTATCGCGTAGCGTTAGATAACAAAGTGTTTATTGCAATATTATATCAATTTGATACAGTTCATTAATTCCGCTATCAAATAACTTGGTAATCAATAAAATAACTTATGTTCACCTTATTATGTGAAACATGTTTAGGGTAAAAGTGATTTTTGTAATTGTTCTCTTTTATATTTGTATTCCTAAAGACCTCTTTTGACTTTTCTATTCTAAAAAAGTTACGATACTCCTAGAGCGACTCGCCGCGGGCATGGGCTGCGATTTTCGAGCGAAAGCGGCGAGGGCCCGCCGTCTTCGAACCCGCGACACTGCCGAGGAGAGCGACGCAAAGCGCCTCGCCCCCATTAGGGCGAACGCTCGCGACAGAGATCGAATATGGTGCACACGAGCGCGTGTGAGCTGTATCACCGATAGGATGCTGTCCGTACTCCCATCGCCGCCTCCATTGGTGCCCCGCTTCCCAGTGCTTGCACGGCGGTGCACGTGAAATGGGACTTTAGAAACTAGCGCAATAGAAATATCATTACGACCTAGGGATGCAGGACCTGTGGCCGGGAGGGGGCCGCAAGGGCGTAAGCGCCGGTGGCTCTTACGCGGGCGGGATAGGGCGGCGCGGGGCACTTAAGACCTTCCTGCTACGAGGGAGGGCAGTTATCATGTGGGCGGGTATCGATCGGTGCGCAGTGCGCGCTCCGGAGCGTCAGAAGTAAACAGAACTCGGCGCGAACAAGACGGCTCAGCATGCGGACCCTCAACTTGTTGGCGCTTGTCACGGTGGCGGCGTGTGCCTTGGCGAGACCGCCAGGTAAGTGGGAAAAAAACCCTGCAACTTCTCCCCCAACCAACTCCGCGATAACCGCCACGGCCCGATGACTTTTGCGAATTTTTTCTATTGTTGTTTGTATCTTTTGAATTTTGTTTTCTTCAACCGGCGGCCGCGCGACTTTTTTTTCTTTTGGAACGTCCACGCGGTGCAGACACTTGTTACGCGCTGCTCTTTTCCTGTGTTGCCACGTTATGCTTTCTCTACATTCTATTCCTTTCCTGATTTTTTTTATTGTATCATTTTGTCCTTAAAAGTTTTTTTTTTTGAAAACCCGAGTGCGACTATTTATTGTATCCTTATTGCGGTTGCGTTAGATTTTTTTCTACTTTTGATCAGTTCATATACAGTTTTTTTTCCACGAGAATTCGTTGAAGTAGGTTAATAAACGCCTGCGAAGAGTTTATTTTTTTCTGAACGATCGTTATGCGTTTTGCAAGCGGTGAAACTTTTTAAAGTAGTTTTGAACGGGTAAAACGTAAGAGAGAAGTTCGACCCGCCAAGCTATGGGTAAAGATGTAAATGGCGTAACAAAAACAAAAAACCCAACAGCGTAACACCGGCGGTAGCTTTAGGATTTCCACAACAGCTCGAATGCGAGACTTTAATATTGCTGACCTATTGCGTGCCATTTAGACATGAAGAAGCAAAGATTTATCAATGAAAGCTTGCATGGAGTCGTGACTAAAGAAACTACAAGAAGTAGTTGTCCACTCACTCCTTTACTGATGGAAATGTCTCCGCAATTTTGATTGTCTAGGGTCTATTCAAATCTCTCTCTTATTTACGACGTCTATTTAAATAGGCTAAATCACTTTGAGCGTGTTTTGAAACTTTCAAAACAATGCGACAGTATGTCTAATCGCGCCATGACGAAGCCGAAACATGCCCACGCTAGCACATCGACTGATAACGTAAGCTAGAGGAGCAACTGATACGTGCGATACGCAATTCATTTGCATCCCCAAGTAGAGTCGGTTAAAGTTTATTTTGCTTTGAATTTTCTCTTATGTTTCACGCATAATTTGCATCCTCAGTTTATTCGAAACAATTCCTTTTTTATATTTCCAATCAAAACAAAAAAAAGTTACGAATTTTATGCGGAAAAGGAGATTTAATTTTTTGAAAACAACAAAAAAAACCGTTTAATTATAACTTACAAATTGATTGTTCAAATAAGTGTAAAATTCTAATATACATGTATGTATACATTGAATTAGCCGAAAATATACTTCGAGTCGCGGCTGGAAACGATTTTGTCATACGAATCGTGGTTACATTTTTACTGATAATTCTGAAAGAATTTTCGTAGACCGACGAAAAGATTAAAAATTGTTCTTAAATTAGACCGAGGTATAAATAGAAGTCCAATCCAACCAACCTTAATGTGTGGAAGCCAAACATGGGCCATAATGAAAAACTCAATCAATAGAATTTCTATTTGCCAACGAGCAATGGAGAGAAGCATGCTAGGAGTAAAGAGGGGGGATATAATAAGAAAAATTATCATTAGAAAAAAGACTAAGATACAGGACGTAACTCCAAAAGTAAAAATGATAAAATGTGGTCGGGACATAATTATGATCAGAGAAAAGGACAAGTGGAGCAAAATAGTTACACAATGGTACCCAATGCAAGGAAAAAGCAAAAGAGGAAGACAACAAAAAAGAGGGGACGATGATATCAGGCAGGTTGCAGACATAACATGGAGTGGAGTAGCCAGAAAGAGATCATAATGGAGTAGATTGGAGGAGGCCTTTGCCAACTGGCAAACGGACTTTCATGACTTAAAAAAACATCAAATACACGAATTTTAATTATTAAATTAATTGGGTTATATATGTTATTGTGCAGTAGTAAGTAACAAAATGTGTCTTTGGTCCGAATAAAAAGGCATTATAACTACTATAAATAGAAGACTAATGAAATTTTGAGCCTAGTACTTCGAGTCTATGCAGAAAGAAAAAAAAATATAACAAAATCTTTATATTGCGATCACACAAAGAAGGATTGACTTTATTGTGTTGGATACAACTGTAGAGATGGCGAAATGGCTTTTGAAAACGTAACAGAACAATCAAGTAAAATAATGAGTTTTTGCATTGTGTTCTTGAAGTTGAAGAGACAAGAAAGAAAAATTCTCCAATCCAGCTGATTATACTAACAAGAATAAATTTCGGAATAGAAACATAAAAATTTCTAAGCGCCAGATTCTGGCCGCGAATCCGGAAGACGTTGGTTCGAATCCCGCAGTGGCGAGAAACTTTCCGTCCTTTTTTCTACAAATTCTAATCTTTCGTCTTAAGTGAGGAGATAGATATTTAAAGAAACGTTTACATTTCAATGTCGCTGTATTCTAAACTACAACGAAATATGCTACAAATGAATTCTATATGACAAAAGAAACAGCACTATTTTGGAGAGTGCACATTTACACAATGCTGACACCGAGTACGAGACGAAAACGAAAGAAGCGCCTAAGACGACAAAAAGAACACTATTTTAATTAAAGAACTTGCGTATGCGCAAAAGATAAAGCATCAAGCGATGGAAGACTAGGAGCTGCTTATATACAAAGCAAATAAGAAAGAGATTACTATGAACATATTAAACAAAAAAATATTGGTAATTAATCAAAAGCGACTAAGTGGAATTTGCAAAAAGCGATGCGAATTTAAAGACATAATGTGACCGAAAAGAGATCATTCAGCTATTTTAAACTTTTAACATTTTTAATGTTGAGTAACGTATTGAAAACAGTAATGCGAAGAGCATATTGCCTGTTCTAAATGTTCACCCATGGTGTTATGAATACAATAATTAGCAATAACTTTTCCCAAACAACGTTAGCCAAACGATGGAGATATTGGACAAACAAAATACATACGAAGGTGAGATCAAAGACTAAGAATCAAAGAAGCCTCAGGCGTATTTGATTTATTGACAGTAATGTTATATTGTTGTTTATGTTCATGTGTTCATGTAATGTTTTTTCAATAAAGTTTACTGTGATGATATTCGTTTCAATTCATTATGTTATGATTAAATGTTTATAGTAATATATTTTGTGTGTTTTAATACCTTTTTGCGACGATATATAAATCTTGACCATTTTAGCATTTTGCATTATAGAATGCGCTCAGAAATCCACCTTTTCTATTTAATGACATTAAATATCAATATCGTCAGTTAACTAAATTCCGAATTAAATGACGAATAGAATCGAAAATGAAACATGCTAAGAAATTATTTACGTTAAAATGTTCATATTATTAAACTTTGATTATGTATTTTTAATCTTTTTGTAAGCATTGATTTAATTTAATAGTATTTAGATTTTTTACATATTCACCAATCAGTCAAATAGTTGGTGATGCAATCAAAGGTCGACTAATAATTCATGTGAACCTATAATTTGCATATTAGAACACTGAAATTGATCGTAGATTTCCCAATGCCGTCTTCGTAGTCGTTCGGTGTGTAACATAATTATTTTATGCCTATATGTTGGCGATAGGCGCTATGTACCGGACTGTATTTGCACTCCAGATTGAGGCCTCGGGCGTTGGCAAGGTGTAAATTAGATCTGAACGCGATGGGCCCAATTTAACATGGTCAATAATAGCACGCTATATCCTGTAATATTTTGCCTTGACGGAACGGAATAAAGTCAGTTTAAAATAAAAAGTACTTCATCATGAGTATAGCTTTAGACATACAAATTTAAAAGGTTATCTTCACGCAAATGATATTGTAAACGTTATTCCACTGTAGTCCCGTTTGGAATAGGATAAGGAATGAATCCCATTATGAATCCGATATCTGTTTAAACTAGTACATATACTATTATCACCAACCAATACTTTTATAAGAAGCTAGACTTCAGAGACTTTGTGGATTCACATCCTAATATTTTCGTGTCAGATTTAAAGTATAACTTTAGCCTTTTAACTGAGTAAAAGTTCTCTCAATTTGACAAAGAGGGGTTAGAAAACGTTTTTTTAGTAGCCATGCATCCTTAAATGCTAAACGCATGAGCGCAGTAAATTATTGGTAAGTAAACTAATTAATGAGGCTCATTCCTCAGCGGTTCCGCCATCCGATATCCCAGTTGGTGTTGGGTTCCTCTTCCGTAAGTCCCACATTAACAAAGTAGTAAAGTTCAACAGTGTGTAGAACGTACTGTTATAACGTTTCTATGTTAGGGATCGGGCTGAATGCACTCCTTTTACATCTTAACTGCTACATCGGCACTCTCATACACCTACATAAGAACCGCGGCGGGCCACACTCGCTCTCTTACTCTTTAATCTCAAGGACGTCCACTATATCCATTCCAGTTCTATATTCATTAAACTTTGACGTTTACTCCAAATAAATCCATTCCAGTTCTAAGTTATTCTAATATTCTATTGTGACAATTATGTTTTAGGTTAATAAAACAGTTTTTTTAAAACTATGTAATCTATCCTAATCGCGAGTCCCCGTATAATATTTGGTGGCCGCGGTGGGATACGAAAATTCATAAAGCACGGATAGTACAATAGAACTCAGGGCCCAACGTATTAATTTATTAACGTCGTGATTTATTAGTTTCAACATGACTTCCAAATACGAATCCAAAGTGGAAACTTTTATTGCCTCAAGGAGTGCCCCATCTCGTAAAGAACAAGAAGAAGGATTACAGTGCAGTGATCTTTCATTTATTAAACCTTTCGACGGATCGCGTTAAAACTAAAGTGAAAGGAAAAGTGTATTGTGTACACGAAAAACACAAAACTGTTATCGTCTACTCGTGCTACAAATATAAGTAGCCCTGTTCCTATATTAGATTTTAAAATAATTAATGACTCTTGTTGTAAACTAGTTCATAAGTCCACAAATATAAACAATATCGTGGCACCTATTTCACTCCAAAATATCGACTTAAAATTTAATACTGAAAATAGTAACTTAATACCGAGTTTAATATATAATATTAT